ATTGTTCAAAATATGACAAAAAACAGAAATTGGAGCTACAAAGATTTTTGTTCACATTGATATTTGAGCCAGCTGTGAAGATTTAAATCACACTAGATCTTGTTTTATGAATGTCCTTTTGCAACAAGAAAACCATGGAATGCCCTTAAAAAAGAATTTTTTGATATAAAACAGATGTTTTATCCTTTTTTGGGGGCTTTGTTATTCTAGTGCCATGATAGGTAATTAATTCCCAGGCTCCACATAGGTCTTCAGGCAGATGAAGAGAATGATTTGATTTCAAGGCTATAGTGGAGTAAGGGAATTACAGGCCTTTGAGGGGTCATTGCAGAAGCAAGTTTCTTATCCTGGGACTGGATTCAGCCATTAATGCTGCTTGCACAGAATGTAATGTGAAACTAGTGTTGAACTTCAATAAGGATGGAAGTAGTAGCTGGAAACAATATGTGCTGTTGCTCAGACTGAGCTGAGCTGATGTACCATGCAGCACTCACCTTTTCATAAATTAATGGAATATTTTGCATTTCAAGACCAGGGTTTTGATTATTCTGATATAAATCCATGTAGTTTCACTGAAACTCAGGCCATTCTGGCTACATTTACCTTTACATATTTTTTTCTTAATTTTCATTGCTATCACAGAACTCATGTTTATTAGGAAAACAAATTTTCAGTGTCAGTTAGGGCTTTTACCCCTTGAAATACTTTTAATGAAAGTAGTTGATATTCTAATTTGCTATTAAATTAAACACAATAGGTAGCTATTTTTTTCTCATTGTTGTATTTGCATACCTGTTGCCAAGCTTGAATTGCTGTATTTAGAGAATGAAGTGCATATTGGCCAAAGCTGATGAAAACAGGGTCAACCATTATCGTGCAGTCGAACAGCCTTCCTGCTGTGCTGCTGGAAACAGCAATCTGCCCCCAGATTTTGAAAGGTTTCACAACACTCTGCATGGTCACATTTCGACACTCCAGAAGTTTACAGTCAGCTTGAGTCGAAAACTGGATCTCCTGGAACACTGACTCATCGTTCCACTGACGAAGATATACATGAGGCTCATCAAAGGAAACTATCATGTATTCTAGTTCAGATGGCATGTTCTTATCAGATAAAAATGGCTGAAGAAACTTTGGTGGTGCTGAAAAGTAAAAGAACAAACAAGACTAGAGCATCACTATTGCTGCATTCTTTATGCTTTTGTAAATTGTGTTTTTACTGCAAATTGTATTTTTACTGCTTGTACATAAGATGAAAACAAGTAAATTTATCAAAGAGTTGACATTTCTGAAATCTGAAATGAATCCTGTTTATGCTGTTTGTTAGATGTAAAACAGTATCATAATTAACAGCAGCTGCAAACAAAAAGTATCTGCAAACCAAAATCTTTTCATAGTAAATAAACCAGCCAGCGAAACTGCTTTATCTACACACTGCTCAATGCTTCAGATTGCCACCTATTTGGAACCATATTTCTGTGAGAATTTTTGCTACAGTAGGTGTATGTCATATTCCACACATAGCACTTCACAAACACAATAAAAATTAGCAACACAGTATTTGCTGACATGTGACTGTGCAGGCCAACAGGCTCCACATTGGAAGTTGTCTTTGCTGCAATTATGGACAGTTCAAGACCACAAACCCACTGAAATGCGACATACTACCCCATAATGCTATAAATGAAACAAAGCAGTATCCTGAGACTAAAGCTTGAGAAATGTATCACAAAAAAGATTTTATCGCGTTCGCTTTGCTCAGTCGTGCAAAGCGCTGAGCACTGAGGCAGCAGACACTGTGAGGCACGTACACCCCTTGTGTAACATTAAGCATGAGAATATTTCCATTGATGTTATTATTTATGTTGCTGGAACTACTCACATGCTTAAAATTAGCATATGCTCTAGTGCTCTACAGATTTGGAACCAAAACACTCATCCCTATCCAGGATCAAGCCCGGTTAATCTATAAACTGTAATGGATACAACAAGTTTTGTGCTCCCTTTGTGTATAACATAGCACAAAGGAGCCCCAAAACTCAAGGCCTTTAGATGCTATAACAACAGTAACAACAGCATAAACTCAGTCATTGTTGAGAAATAAAACAGCTGTGTTTGATTTTAATCTGATTTTTGCCTTTTCCAGTATATGCAATTTTAAAGACTGAGCATCTGGAATCGGACTGTAATAGCGAGGAAGATTACGTACTTGATAGAGGTAGCTGATAGAGAAGAAATTATTTTCTAGCCATTGAATGCCAGTCTTGGTATGATTTGATAATGAATATATTATAATACTCACAGAAACACAAGAACTACACACAATGAAAGCTGTCCCTGTCAAAATTATCCAAGAAGTTTGCCCATCTTCCATAGAAAGCATTCCTGGCATTTGAAAATCAGACAATAATCTAAAGATCTCTCGGAATGTATTTGCCATTAATGCAATGACAGAGAGCACTGAACAAAACCAGATGTAGCTCCAAAAGTGATCATAACTGAAATAACTTAAATCTGCAGTTCTCAGAGCGCTTCCAAAGAATTTTTACTAAGCGGGTTGCAAAATCTTCAAGTATTTTAATATACTGTTAATACACTGGAAAATGCAAAAGATCAAATTCATTCACTAAGATGGCTCAAAAGTGAAGTGGCACCTGCTGTCCCTAATCAGACTATGGAAAACAGACGGCTTCTACAGTTACCCGTTCCGGGGGCAGGAAGGGGCTGCTCTCGCAGCCTCACTGCTGGCCCTGTGCACAGGCTCAGTGCACACCAGTGCTCAGTTTCACCCTGAAACCCGTGCCACTGGTGGCTGCTTGTGATGGCCTCTGTCTGTTTGAATGAAGAATGAAGAATGAAGAATGGTGGTTAAGCAGCATCTATGAACTGCAAGTTTTTATTATGCTACATGAAGCAGTACATACCTGTGCCGAGTTGATCGAGATGATGGCATAGGTGGACTTCCAAACAGGTAAACTGGATCAACACACTTAGTGATGGCACAAACCAAGGAGTAAAACAGGAGTCAACCCTGGTACAAGCTGCTAATGCCGTGGGGGTCACGAGCTGATCGCACGCGCTTTGGGAGCCAGATTCACTTTCTGAGCTGCAGAAGGAAGGTAACAAAGTAGTACTTCAGCACTTCCAGGATTTTGCGGCTCTACAGCAGGAATTGACAATGTTCCACACTCATTTTCTGACACAGACAACATTGTGGTTTTATTTTAACTGCTAATGCCAGCGCCTGTACTTTTTCCAAAGCAGACTGTAACAGACAAGATTGCAATCCATCCATGGATATGTAGTTACCAAACTACACTTCCAATTTACTTCCAATATTTGAACCACAAACCCAAAGCCTACTTGCAGAAAATAAAACCAAAATATGCCAGGTATCTTTAATTGTTGAAATAGCTAAATGGAGTTTAGCTATCATTGTCATTATTAAAGCTGTAAGAATGAGATGAAAGTTCATCTGGTCAAGAGAATGATTTTTTTCCACTTGATTTTAAGGAAAACAACTAGCAACCATCAAACCACTTCTATGTATGAACCCCTAGTCTTTGTAAGCTTTATTTCCTTTGCACTCTGAAATCATAATTTAGAAATAATCTCCAATTATTATAAACTCAATCTGGAGCCCTTTACTATTGTCTATTACAACATATTAACTCTGCATTTAAAGTGTCACCCCTTGATTTTTTTTTCATAGCTGTGTTCCTAACACCATGAATTTCCAAGCATTATCTTTCAGTCTCTTGAGAGAAACTACCACTACGTCACAATTCTATAAGCTGCTAAGACACCACAGAAGTACAAATAAACTCTCTAATTTAGCCAAAACTATCCTTAATGTTCCTTATTCCCACTCCCTTTGAAGTCTGGCTCTCAAGAGTTTTAGTTTAGAAGTTTAGACTTGATTCAAGAGAATTACAACCACGTCCTCAGTCAAATACTTTATTTTAAAAATAAAATTTAATGAAAGATGGACTATGGTCAACTTAATATTTTTGTCAGAAAGTCATTAGTTTTTATAAAGCACCATAAATCCACTTCCATTAACATTTTAAAGATATTTTTAATTAAAACATAAGTTTAAATTTGAACAATGGCTTTCCAAGCAACATACCTTAAGCTTTTAGGACCAGATTTTTCATCATGTAATGTATTTTACTCCCAAATTATTCACAAATATAGTAGATACTCAAAATGTTTAGCTGCAAATGAATGGAATTCCATGGATAGGTAAATTTATCAGTATTATTTAGTATTGCATTAACTATCTAGTATAATATTTATTTATAGAGCTTAAATCCAACTTTAGACTTGTGGACTTTATGCAGCAGTAAAACCCAACTAAGATTAATTAATTAGCAAAGAATCATGACAGGATATTAAGAATGAATTAGATCAATAAAGTATGAAAGATGACTTAATCATAATTTTAGCATCTTTCCTGTGCTTCTTTACCTGTTTAAATTGTAAATTTAAATTTAAAATGTTGATGTCAAAAATGTAAATTTTACATTCCAAAAGCAGTGTTGTAGGCCTTTTGAGAACTGGCACCTTTAGAAATAAAATTATTCTTTGTGTTCACATGATAAAATATCTATGGGACTGGTTAACAGAGAAACAGGATGCTTTACTTTGCTCTGCCACAGATATTTCTTAGAATGCTGGAACAAAGGAAGGGAACAAATCCAAAGGACAAAAATTCATATGCTGATTTAGACAACTAAGTACTTTTGAATCTGCAAAATGGGTTAGTTCTCTCAAAGTAATTATTAATATTTTAAGATTTTTTGCTCATTGCATTTTGATTAGAAACAGAAATTCAGGAACATATGAAATGGAAATAGTTTTCTGTTGGGGTAAATGAGTGCAAGCAAATGTTAACCAAACTATGAAGAACTAAAAAAAAACCTAATTGCACCTTGATATTCTGAATCAATACTTAATTTCATGAACAGCTGTAACACTGTTTGAAGTAAAGAGGAAGGGCATTTAATTCTGATACTTATTTCTCATATTCGAGGTTTATTCTGAAAATATTATACTACAATAAAAATATAAAATATTTCATTTATAAGAAATAATAATTTTATTTATAATAATATAAAATATTATATTAATATATTCCTTTTCCTCAGAAACATGTTTCTTGACTCACCTATTAGTGACTAAACATTTTTATTTCCTTTGATATATTTTGAAGACGCATATTTTCATGGAATAAAAACCAAACAAAATCTTCCAATTTCTTTATTTTATATATCTGCTTTTTATTCATTGAAAATTTAATCGTGGTGGAACTTTTGCAATTTCTCACTCATAAGCACCATGATGACAGAGCAACAGGACATGCTTGATGCAGAAGGAAATGTGGTAGGAGATTCACACCAGGGAGATAATATAAAGCATTTAGCCATATTTTTTTCCATTTTTTAATGCCCCACAAGCACCAGACCACACAGAGGTAATACCCAGCAATTTAAAATGTTGGGAACAAAAAAGATTAAAAGCTGCTTTTTGTTTCCTGATGGAGTGACCTTAGAAACCAAAAAGCCCAACACTGAAACTCTACAAAATTTGGAGTCCAACCAGATGCTTAAAAACTTAACCGGAGAGTACCAGCAGATGAGGGTGGGACAGTGCTGGCCCATGGGACAGAACTGGTCTTGCATCCTCTCCCCTGCTAGGGAGGGAAAGGTGCTGGAAGTGGAGGACTGAGAGGAGCAGGACAATACATCCTAAATGGTTTAGAAGGTAAAGTAAAGGTAATGGTAAAGTAATGGTAAAGAAGGTAAAGAGAAAATAGCCTTCGAGGAACCATTTGGAAAGAAATGCAACAAGGATCTTTCATCACTGTTTTCCCATCTGCCCAGATTTTTCTGAAGTGTAATTGTTTTATCCGTGAGGGGTCCATTTGATTTTTACTCAACCAGAAACCATTTTCAGACTTGTAGCCCCCATGTCATTATTAAAATAAGAATACAGTAACAGTATAAACCAGCTACAGTACAAAATATACTAAAAGAAGCAATCAAATTACTGCAGTGTTTTCTTTAAAAAATGCGACTGTAATAAAGAGTCATAATATAAATGAACAGTTTTTAAAGAGGAACTGTAGCCATGACCCTGTGATTTTCAATTGAATCCCATTTAAACTTTTTATCTAGGTAGACTTCCATCAGACCTGTAGCACTGCCACTCTCTCTTTAACTTTGCAGAGAGCACAAAAATAAAAAAACACAGCCCTTTATTACATGCTGTGCACAAACAGCAAATAAAGCAGTGTTAACTGAAAATACAGGAAAATTTCTATTCAGTCTTGGTGAATGACAGTAGGAGCATTAAATATCAGAAGAGGATGTGATTGTGAAATCTAAATTTGTTCATCAAGTGAAAACAATATAAAAACACCCCCACATTTCTTGGCTGCCTTGGAGCTACAAAAGGAAGTGTGGACTGTCCACAATTTTACAGCTGTGAAAGAAGAGGAAGAACCAGATTCTTCTGCTTTGTGTTTGGCATATCATGATAAAGGAGGCATGTGGCAAAATCAGAGGAAATTAAAAATAAAACTGGCCTGACTTTACCAGATTTTTTTTTTCTTGTTTTCTTTTTTTTTTCCCAACTACTGGGAAATATCAGAATACTTAAAATGGAAAATATCTACATTTTAAGTAATAGAAATTATGTATTTCACATCATGCAGAGCAGCTCAAGTTAAACATGTGGCAACTGAGAACAATGACTTAGCACTGACCTGTATTATTCTTGTTATTTTAAGAGAGGAATATTTAAACCAAAACTGCCATTTGTGATGAAACTACAACATGGGAAAGTATCCACTGGGAAGAAGAAAGAGACCACTTAACTCATTAAATTTATGACTCAAAGGCTGGTCTGAACTCAAATTGTTGGAGGTCAAAATACAGTACATCATTTACTTTGAATAAAAGCTGAAACAATTAGCAAGAAACATGATCATGATTCCTCACTTGAATTTTTAAAAAGTAGCAATTTAAGGCTTATTTAAAAGTTTTTGTACTTGTTTCATGGTTTGTATCTTAAGGCACTTTCAATTACTATTTTACATTAGTATGTCATTAATTATAAAAATACTGTTTAAATTACATAGAAGATGCACAAATATATAAAACACCTTGTAATGCAACCCATTTAAACAAAATTTATAAATCATTCCCAACCAAACCAAGAAGGGGCTTTAGTGTCTCACCAACCAAACAGAGCCTAAAAAGTAATTTAAATTATGATTTGTTAGTCCTGCAACAGGGAAATGCAACCCATAAAAATAATTTATTCTATGATAATTTCCTTGTAATCCCGTTTTAAGGTCTTCCATAAACAGTCATTTATGCCATATATGATTCCTTTCATAAACACTGTACTACATCCCCAAAGAGATGCTAAATTATTTCACTCAGTACTTCAAATTTTTTCATTCATTGAATAAACTTTCATAAATGTTCATGCAAACCATACACATACATAGAAATAATGAATGGGATACAAAATTCTCAAGTATAAACAACATACATATATCTATTATGCCCTTCACCACATAGCTACTTGATTTTTATACTTCCAGTTAGTTCCTGATCAATCTCAGAAGAGCTTGCATACCACAGGATTTGAATCACGACATCTTTGCACATTCCAATATTCATTACTGCTTGCTCTATTTCACCCTGCCAGGCTACTGCTCATCACGTCAGCTGAATCCACATCTTCTCACAAACCTTGTTGTTTTCCTGTCACATGAGACACCTAAATTTCATACCTTATAACCAATGTTAGGAATCAGTAATAAAGTACTAAACCACAACGGATCAGCTCTCTGCCATTAATAATTAGCATATCACAGAGGTTATCACAAAAAAACCTGCAGAATTTTAAGGAAAAGAATATTATCATTGACCAGCAGCTGCATGCATATGGCAGTGGTTAGAGTCTGACCCAAAATGCAACATCAAACTAAGAAGATAATTTTCAACAAGAATAAGCCTTTTCATACTTAGCAATTAATAATGTATTGTTATTGCTAATCATTCATACAGTTGTAGCATGTAATTAATGTCAATTCCTCATGAGTGTAAAGGAAAACTGAGGTTCAACTTTTACACAGCTTTGTTTCTTAACTCTCACAGATCCCCCAGCTTTAGAATTTCCTGGTTTAACACTCAACACTGGCATTAAGCCTTGAGGCTCTTCCCACAAGTCTGCAAAATCCCATGTTAAATGCTTGCTTTAGGAACAAGACTTTGACATTTACCACAACATGGGCTCTGTCTCTCTCTCAAAAACAAGAAAGTCTGGCATTTTTTGGTTAAGTTGAATCTAGAACATATTTCAGAGTGCTTGGTGAGACATACCAGCAGCAGTATGTTTCATGAAACCACACTTTTAGTGAAGTTACTGACAACGTGGACTTCCTATAATCCACAGATTCTCTGCAGGTCCACAGTTTTTGTCACCACCTCCTACACAAGGCTTCCTTTAACAGAACATGATCCCTTAAGGCTTAATAATGTCTTTCAATTTGTTCTGTAGCTGTAACCATACACATTCAGTTCTTGGGGACTGTCTCAAAGCTTCCAGGCCAGTGACATGTCACTGGCACGTTTGCTCTGTCTCCAAGAAAAAGCCACTGTGCTCAAACACCACAGGGCAAAGCCTCCTGTCTGAGAAACAGCACCTTTTGTTTTGAACCATTAAGTTTTTCTGAGAAGGATCACTCCAGACTGGTTAGGACTACTTCTACACCAGTCCTTCCTGCAGCCATCCTTAAGAAAGCTCGCAGTGCAGCTTTGTTTGATGTTAGAGAGATCAGTTTGAATTTTTATCACAGAACCACAGATTGGGTTGGGTTGGGAGGAACCTTTAAGATCCTAGCTCCAACACCCCAGCCAAGGGCAGTGACAACTTATGCTAGGCCAGGATGTTCAAAGTCCCACACAGCCTGGCCTTGGACACTTCCAGGGATGGGGTATCAGCAGCTTCTCTGGACAACCTATTCCAGTGCTTCACCACCCTCACAGTGAAGAATTTCTTCTTAATATCTAATCTAAACCTGCCTTCTTTCAGCTTAAATCCATCCCCCCATATCCCCATCCCCCATTTACATGTCCTTGTAAAAAGTCTCTCTCCAGCTTTCTTTAGGTTCTGAATGCTGCTCTAAGGTCTCCTTGGAGCCACCTTTTCCTCAGACTGAAGAATTCCAAGTCTCTCTGTCTTCACAGGAGAGATGCTCCAGCCCTCTAATCATCTTTGTGGCTCTTCTCTGGAATCACTCCAGCAGGTCCACATCCTTCTTAAGTTAGGAGCCCCAAGAACTGGACTCAGTATTCCAGGTGTGGTCTCATGAGAGCAAACCCATACCTCCAAATGAAAAACACTGCTGAGGCAGTGTTTCTCTCCTCTGATTGAAATCAGAGGATTTCCTTGTATAGGCCACAGGTTTCTGGCTTCTGGAGCTCACCATGACCTATACAAATCTTTAAATTTACAGTCTATTGTTAGTTCATGTAGGTATAAAATACACTTCTTAAAGATATTATGAATTCCCCAGGCCCACAAAAGTATCAGGACTAGTGACTCTGCAGCCTCTGGACAGGTGGGTGTCAGTTCAAGGAACTTTCCTTTGACTTTCCTCTTTCTCTCTTGTTTATTTACCTTCAAATGCTTCAGGAGTGAGGTAAATGTTTTTTGCTGCCTTCATTCCTCCCCTGCTATTCTTGTGCACTGAACTGCAAATGCTTCAGTTTAATTCCTGTTGTTTCTGAACAATTACAGCTCATTAGCTTATCAGAGCTCCCTGAATGAAACATTACATAGAGTGATAAATCCTATTCGAGCAGAAAACAATAAACATGACTACAGTGCTAAATGCCTCGATGAAAAAAAATCTACTAAATTTCACTACATCATTTCCAGTTCCCACCGAGTTCACATTTCTGTGGTGTTAAGCTGACCAGGAAGGCAATTCTGCCAGGGTCCCACATTCAGAGGAATTAACCTTGTCTAAAACACTTAACTTCTCAATGATGAAAATGCATTCTTTCACAATTAACATCAAGAAATCATTTCCAACCTGATACTATTAATGGAAACCAGATGTTTAATTTTCTTCATTGATTTTGTTAGCCATGCTCATATTCCCTGATTTCTATGAATTCTGTAGCTTTGTTCAACACATATGTGGATGCTACACACTCACTGAAGCTTGGGTTCATAAACAAGCACCAAGAATCAGCAAATACCAAGGATTCAAGAGAGTAATTTTGGGTTTTGTGCTCTAAACATAAAATGATAAGCAGGTCTTTGAAAGCAATTCCACTGCTGTTTCTGGACAGAACTTGTACTCCTATCTTTTTACTTTACATATAACCAAAATGGGATGAATGCAAACAGAGTGAGTATCTGTCATTGCAGTGTTTCTAGCACTAAACATAATGAAAAATAGATCCTCAGTGTTTAAAAACACTAATTAAGTTTTTTTTTCCTGTTAGCACAGTAAGCAATCTGTGTGAATAATAACGCAATACTATTGAAATAATAACACTTTGATCAGTATCTTTGAAATAGTCACTGACTTGCACTGAGGATAGAATCAAGGTGTGTGTAAGGATTTCGTAGAAGAAGAATGTTTACTACTACTTTATAGAATGGATTGAACCTAAGCCTTCTTTGGTTAATTAGCTGATTTTACTGCCTCAAGCAGCTAAGAACTCTCAGGACACGTTTGCACTTTTCAGTAAACCTTGCATTCAGAAAATTGATGGTTATGATGCTGCCAGGCTGCCTATGAACCTAAAGGAAAGCTCTTTTTGTGCACACTCCATGCCCTGGTGTGAAGGTGAGCTACAGTCTGAAGCTTACGCAGGACTAACCACTCTTATAGCATATAAAACAAGTATCTTAATTTCTAAGTCTCTTGAAACAGATTTCTTAGGAGTGTAGCATTAGATGCCTTTTTCCCTCCTCCTTTAAAATTACCTTTGGTCATCAGCCACGTTCTGGCTGCTGTTGAGGACAATCCTCCACAGGTCAGAGGCTATGAGCTCCTTCTGATCATTCACAAGGCTGATACTGGGCAGCTGCAGATCACAGACTTTGCTTTCTGATAGACTGAATTCCCGGAATGCAACAAATGATTTCTGAAGCTCATCCCAGTACTCCAAGCTGCAAGGAACCTGTGATAAAAGGGAGAAGGCATAATTACATTATGCTTGATTGCAAATATAATGCATTTTAATCCATATGCTTGAAGCGTAAAACTAATTAAACTAAATAAATGGTCATACAGAAAATCTTAATGGTAACCATTACTCAGATCTTGTGCTGTCTTGACTTGAATGAAAATGTTTTCAGAATATCATTGCAGACTAACACTTCCAAATTTCTCTTCCTCTGTACAAAAATAGCTGCTTGTTCCACAGGAAACCATGAATAACAATGACAATTAATCCAAACATTATTTGTATTATGCAGCCAAAAAATCCATCAGATGTCTACACATCATGGTATCAGACATTCTAGTCAACATTAATTCTATTTAAACTCATTTTTGTTTTATTACTTAACAAAATTTAAGTTTATTAAAATAATCAATGATGCAGAGAAGAAAATTATAATAGACAACAAAACACACTGTGGTGGATCAACATATTGCTAAAAATCCTAGGTGAAATAATGAAGCACTTGTATGCATATGATCTTTTCTTTCAAGGGCTATTTAGACAAATAAAGGCAAATGAAACTGAATAAATACGTAGTGGCTTTTGTTTAATTACATCCCTAAATATAAGACTGTAAATAATTCACTTGGATTATTATGCCAACTCAGTCAGCTATGAAGATTTTAGAATTAAGCTACAGAAATTCACAGGTATGGCAGTTGTACATGCTGAAGAATTACTAAAAGTCAAACTGACATAAAGCAAATAGAAAGAAAAATTGCAAATGTTTCTGTTATTACCTGTTTTATCCCTGTGTATAGACAGACATACATAAATAACCAGGAAAAAAAGCAAGAATGTGGCAGAGATGCAAGTAAATTTAGAAAAGTTTTTGTAAGCATTCTTCCTTGTTATTCAGTAAAGATTATAATGCAGATGGAGATGACAGTAAGCTGATTAATTAACAGGAATGAAGGTTAAGAAGGAAAATTCAGGGAGCTCAGTGGTTCAAGCTGGGGAGGGCAAAGGAACGTAAATAATCACCAAAGAATTCTGGAGGAATTAACATGTGGAACCACAGAGCCTGGAAGGTGGATTTTAACTACATCTGTCAAGCCACAATGATATGTGAAGACCGAAAAAAGCAACCACAGCCACTAAAATTTTTTTAGTTCAAGATGTAGGACAAAAAAAATAAACGTGATAACTGTCAGTAAACCTCTGATGCCAGCAGTATGTGTGACACAGAGTACCACAGCAATGTCAATCAGGAGAGCTGATTTAATTCTGAAGACTAGAGTGTGAGAAAAAGGGACTGATTTAACATCAAAACGCACATGTCATGTGTGCAAAGATAGCAACACATTTGTTTATAACCTGCATATTCAATTGGAAAGGGTGAAGACCTGAAAATGTCAGCTGGAAAAATGTGAGGCAGTATGATAAAGCCTGGAAAAAGCTTGAGAGACATCAGGTGAGATATTTCCAAAAGTGAGGGACAAATATTAATTGATTTGTATACGACATCAACGGAGACTCATCTGGAGCATGTCACCTTTTCAACTCTTCATCTTATAACTGTATTAACTCTTGCTGTGGAGAGTTGAAGACTAAATGAAATTAAACAACAGGAACATAATTGTTCCATCCAGACACCTCAGGAAAGAAACATGTAATAGAAGAAAGGTTTATAAAAATTTTGTGTCAAAATTGAGTTGCCCTATGAATAAAGTATAAGGCTAGAAACTGCAGAAAAAGATGGGGATGTGCAAGGACAGCCTTGGTGCTCATGAGAGCTGCTTTTAAAAGCTTGATTTGTTAATTAGATGGAGAAAATAACAAGCATTGCCTCAATGGGAGAAGACTGGGCTTGATGACCCAGAAAACATCTTTCTTGGTTCTCTGTTGCTAACTGTACAACAATGCTGTGCACAACAACAGCAGCAATAAGAAGTAACATGTTAAATTTGTGGCCATATTTCAAAGTCACACTAAAGTGATTCTTTTTGCTCTCAGTGTCACCATACTTTCAGATTTTTTTCAGAACTTCTCAGTGTTAAATTATTTGAATATTTAATGCCTGTGGACAAACACTCAAGACTGCTACACTACCACAGCAATGCTCCTAGCCTCCAATTATGGATACATTGGATACACCCAAAGAACTCCCCTAGTTTAACTAGGAACACATAAAGAGCATCTTCCATCATCTGCTGTCTTTTACACTACACTGTGGAGCCATTCACGCTCACATATTTCTGTTTTTAAACCTTCACAATCTCCACTGGTGATAAAACACTGGAGTTAAGTTAAATACTGTAATACTTGGCATATTTCCTATAGCATGAAGTCTTGGAATTACATAATTATAAAAGGATCTGTTTAATTTCTGACAAAAGGCTGCAGCCTTTCCTGATACTTTACTTACAGCAGAATTTATTTCTGCATACTTTTAAAACTCAGTCCCTAAAATACCTTGACATTCTTTTAGGAACCTGAATAAATATATTTGAATACTTGGTTTGGTCTTGTGCTTCCAAATGTTTATCAAAATCTGAATTACCTTTTCTTATCAATGTTATTGAGTGATATGTCTTCAACGAAAGTCTCACAAAGCTATCATACATAGCATAGTTATTTATCTTAGATTGCATCTCAAAACAAAACTCTTTCCTTAATGAGAATCTCACAAAATTTGATTAGAATAGAAAGTAATGGGTGTTTTAAAAGAAGCTAAGCAAGGTGATGAATTCTATTCCTACTAAGATTAATGAGGTGGAAGAAGCAGTTCATGAGTACAGTTAAGACAATTTTTTTAGTAGCACTACAATATAAAATACTCCCAAACTATCAGTAAGGATAGAGGAAAATAATATAGAGAGATTGAAAATAAAGATTCAAAATATAGGCAGAGCAAAACCTGAAAAGCCTAAAGTGGATTTCACACATCCTGTTTAAAAAAAAACAAACAAAAAGGTACTTCATTATTTCCACCCACTCAGTAGGTGGTAGATCTATCGAAACTCCTCTTGAGGAAAAGATGGCAAAGTAAAATGATGAAAACAATTATGCCACAAAGAAGTTATAATTCATAACTTGTCTTCAGGCTGTGGTCTGTGGTATAAACTAACAAAGTGGAAGTTTCATCTGAGCATGAGGAATAACTTCTTTATTGTGTGGGTGACTCAGAGAGATTGTAGAGTTCCCCTGGAGATGTTCAAGGAGCACCTGGATGCAATCCTGTGCCAGGTCCTCTGGGTTACCCTTCTTGAATAGGGAGGTTGGACCAGAGGATCCACTGTGGACTCTTCCAGCCATACCCATTCTGTTATTCTGCATCCACAACTTCTAAAGTGAATTATGAAAAATTTGGAAAGGCACAGGAACGAGCGCTGAACTCAGCAGTATGAGTAGCCAGAAAAAACATCACTGAACAGTTAATACACACTGGTCAGCAAGTAGAAGAGATTATTCTTTATTTTGTTTAGATTTTTTTCCAACTATGTTGTGGTATGCCAAGAAATCTACCAGACCAAGAGACAGTATGCTTCAAAGTGTCATCTGCACATTAGAGATAAGAAATCAGGGACACACATTCTGCAATTGCCTATACAAAATACAGCTCATGCTTTGGAACTATACAAACTGTAAGCTTTCTAGTTTGAAACTTGCAAAAGACTTACTTGACTTAGAATCTTTGATTTCTACATATCTAGCTTTATTTTTTCTAGGGGGTTTATTACTAATGCCTGATCTGGATAAGTTTAAGGAAAGATGGTAGCTCTGGGCAATATCAGCTGCCAAAAATAATAGTTGTGAAAGCCTGAAAAGGGGTTATAATGCCAGAACTGAGTCATTAGCAGTGGGAATAAGTGAACTAGCTGCAACAAAAAAAATTCCCCACATGTCAAATTAAGTATGGTGCTTTTACCTTAAAATATTTGAATAAAACCTAAGTTATAATTCATGTAATTATTACTTCTTAAGACAATGTGATCACAAAACACAAACAAAGCATATTTAATTTTTTTGCTAAACAGCAAGCTAGGTTCTCCAGCAGACATTTCCCTGCAGCCTTTTGTCTTCTTCCACAGCTCTCCAAGACAGTTTTAATTCCAATGATTGTATTCACCTGTCACTTAAGTGTGCATAGAAGTATTATTTAAGCATGAGCTCAGATTTAACCAAGAATCTCCAAGCTCTGTTTTGCAAGAAAACCACACACTGTGGCAAACACACTTATTTAGAAGGACGATTATGGCAATAGGGAGCAAAACCACAATCAAATGCTTTATTTTTCAGCAGCATCTTTGTTTAACAACAGAGATTAGAAGCAGAAATGAAAAGCTGTATGAAACAGCCTCAACTCTAAGCAGAGAAAGTGAAGGCTGCTCCTTTTTCTCTTTACTGCTGTGAACTATAGACAATGGGGATCTGAAAATGGCGTGGCAGTGTTTGGAAGAAGGAAAATGGTGTATTGGCAAAGTACATGACACAAACAAACAACTGTTCAGAAATAGCTGCCTTGGAGCAAAAATATTTTTAATTAGAAGAGAGCAGATTCCTGTTTTCTTTGAATCTTGTTTCAATCTGTTTTAAAATGAAAATTTTCATGGATATTACACAAACACATGTAAAAGATATCTGATTTGAGCAGAGATGAAACTTCCAACGTACACATCTGTCTCTCAAAAAGGAAAAAAAAAGTGCCAAACAATGAGAAACCTGAAAATCCTCTTAAAGCCCTGCATCCTTCTAGTAATTTCCTTCACACTTGTTAACCTACCAGCAAGACAGTATAATGTCAGTAATCAACATGAAGTACTCCCACTAAAGCACAACAATGTGATTGTGTTTTTTCTTATTCTTCATATATTGTGTCACATATTATCAGTACCAGAATAATTTAATTCCTACTTGGAAACTAGGGGATCAAGAAATGCTACACAGTCTGTTAATGCTTTGTTATTAATTTCATCATTTTGTGTTTTACAGATACTCCTTATTCCCACCTG